AATCAGAGAATGAACGAATTAAATCAGAGAAAGAACAAATTGAAATTGAACTTGATCAATTAAAGAAAAGTTTAAATCAAGAGAAAGAAGTGATTAAAAATCGTGAATCTGAAGCAAAAAGTGAACTTACTCGGTTGAAACGTGAGACGAAAGAGGTTAGCGAAAAACTCAAGACTATACAAAATGAAAAGAGTGCTTTGACAAGCGAACGTGAAGTTTGGAAACGAAAAGAGAATGAAATTACTTTAGCTCAAAAATCTTTGAAAACGGAACTTCTTCAAAAAGAATCTGAATTAAAGGATTTACGTCAAGAATTAGAAATTTTAAATCAAAAATTACTAGAATTTAATAAAGAAAAAACTTTAACAGACAATAAGGTTGCTATATTAGAAGATGAAAAGAAACGTATTGAAGCTCAACTGAACAAATCAAAAGATGAAAATGCAAGGTTACTAGATCAATTGTTCAATGTAGGAAGTTCCAAAGGAGGAGGTGAAGATGGTACCAGTTATGAAGCTCTCGCGATGAAATTAGATGAGGTCGAAATTGAATCAAATATGAAAGATTCTCAAATATGCGAACTAGAAATAACCAAACAGAAGTTACAAACACGTATTGAAAGTCTTGAAGCATCTACTGCTCGTTTAACTACAAAATTACAAGCAGCTAACGCTGATTCCGCTCAAATAAGAAAAGATTTCGATAATTTGGTCCGTGGACTTGAAAATCGTTTGACTAAGTCACATCTTGAAATTGAAGAACTTCACGCCCATATTACTAAACTTAAAGAGCAACTTATTGAAAAATCTCATTCGGCCGGTACGAACAAACAAAGAACAAACGAAGATGTAAATCAGCTAGCCATGGCTGAACAAACTATTAAGTCATTAAAAGAACAAATTGACAAATATAAAGTTTCACAAGGTGATCTTGAACAAAAACTTTTCTTAGTCAATAAAAAATTATCAGAAGCTGATGACGAACAACATGCAAATATACGAACATTTGAGCAATTAATTGCACAAGCAGAAAAAACTTGCAATAATCTTCGAAGTAAGCTTGAAAAAATGCAGAAAGAACACGCCCAAGATAAAGAACAACTTATACGTAATCATCAAAACGTTATTGGTATGTTTAATAAACAAAAAGACGAAGAAATTGCTCAAATTACCAAAGCAATGCAGATACGTATAGAAGCTATTGAAAAACGTCATAGGGATGTGGTGGCCGCTGAATCTAGTGGCAACGATGGTTCAAATTCGAAGAAAGTTATAATATTGGAACAAGAAAAAACCCAATTGGAGAATTCATTAAAATCATTACAAGCAGAGTGTGCACGGTTAGACGAAACACTTAAACAAGTACAAATGGGATATTTGAATGCGGTTAGCGATAAGGATCAGCTGACAAATGCAAAACGTGAAGCTGAAAAGAAGATCAAAGCCATGGAGGTTGAACTACAAACGGTAATGAAATGAATATTACTCGACCTATTTTCTTGATCCATCTATTATAACTAAAATTTAACAATTTTTAGATCAAAACTGAATCAAGTATGAAAGACACTCAGTTACAAGAAGTAAGTAATCTCACTTTTCATAATTTTTATTTTATTTATTTTTTCGTTGTCCTTAAATAAATTTTTTTTCTATAGGTTTTGGCAAAGAATATGGAATTGGCAGTTCAATTGAGTTCGAAATGAGTGTGAAAAAACGTAGTCTTTTTTATAATCGACTATACATATATATATACACTTTTAATTCTTTTTTGTAATTTTATTTTATTTGTAAAAAAAAAAAAAAAGCTTTGTATGATTTAATAATTATTTCATGTATACATAATTCGATTAATATTAATTCTTAATTTGTTAACCCTAGTGTGTTTAGAATAAAAAGTTATGAGAACGGTATTCTCACCAATAAACTCAACAGAGTGGCGATCATAAATAATGCTAAAAAAAAAAAAATGGTTAGAACGCGTGATTTGAAACATTATAATATTTTTAAACCAAAAAAAAAAAAAATTGTTCGAAGATACAGCAATTACCTCTATGTTAACAAT